ACAAAACGAAAATAAAATAAAACCCGTCCGATAATATTAATTGATAGTTTAGTAATAATAGTATTAATTTTACTTGCTTTTAAGTAGCCTGTTGTTACTTATTAGAAATACAACAAAACATAAATAAAAAAAGTATGATAAACCGATTGACGAACTTGCAATGATAATTAGGCCTAGTTATATTAAATTTAGCATTTCGAAACTCCATTGGCGCTCCATATATTTGTTGAAAACAAACCGCGACCGAAATGAAGCGCGACCGAAACGAAGCGCGACCGAAATGATCTGTATTCGACTCTAATGGTAGGCTAACCTAGAAATCATTTCAAATTTGCATGGAAAATCGCTTCCAGGCCTTGGCCCTACCTACAGTATTATATCTATGACTGAGTGAGTAAAAATAGGTGCAAGGAATCGTAACGGGATATGACTTTAATACAAGGTGTACCCTTAAATAGTGGTTCTACTAATTAATAATTATAGGATTTCGGTACCAAGAAGAACGTTTGGATTGTACTTGTACTGTAGGCCTAAAATCCCAACATTTTGATTAACACTTACTCAGTCATTCTTCCCCTGAAGGTTCTTACACTTTCTTCAGAGTATACTAATCAAAAAGAGATTTGTAGCATATGGCACATGGTTTACTAAAAGCTAATTTTACTGTCATTTTTGTCTACATTTACATGTTTTTAACTAATAGACACATGATTTTTATGTGCAATTCAACTGTTTTTAGTTGCAAATAAAGTAAATCGTATTGTGTTGTATAATTATTATTGTCAAATTGCCATGAAATCCTTGAAGACTTATTTTTGGAATATGACTTCTTTTGCCACCGACAACTTAGGCCGCACTGAATTTGTATGGAACGCAATATGGGCATTACCCCACACCAGCAATAGTTGAGGCCATTGCTCAGCTGTAGTGTACTGTAGGCCTATTATAAGCCTTTATTAAACTTAATAATTTAATGTAGCCTAGAGTGTATTCTTCTGCAAAATGTATTACTTTCATGTACAGTATTATTTATTTTCAGTATGTGGATTCAATTTTTTTTTTAATGTTTTGTTTTCTACAATAGTTCCACTGCAGGGAATATTGAACGAAAGATTATTAGGAAGTCCTCAAGATGTCCTACATGTTAACACATTTACACAATGGATGGCAAGTGGACCAGGCCATTCTGTCAGAGGAAGACCGTGTAATTATTATACGTTTCGGACATGATTGGGATCCACTTTGTATGAAAATGGACGAGGTGCTTTTTGGCATTGCAGATAAAGTGAAGAACTTTGCAGTTGTGTACGTCGTTGATATTACAGAAGTGCCAGACTTTAATAAAATGTACGAGTTGTACGACCCATGTACTCTAATGTTCTTTTATCGTAACAAGCATATCATGATTGATTTAGGAACGGGTAACAACAACAAAATTAACTGGCCGCTTGAAGACAAGCAAGAGATGATTGATATCATAGAGACTGTATTTCGTGGAGCACGAAAGGGGCGAGGTCTAGTAGTATCACCAAAAGATTACTCAACGAAGTATCGTTATTAAAAAAATCAAATTGTATCTTTTCTGTGTCTATTTGTCAGTAAAGTTTTGACAAAGCCTGATGAAACTACCATGACCAGAGTTAAAACAGTGCTGGTTAGATTAATTTGTAGTATTTGGTGATGGCCATACAATAAAAACCATGCACTAGAGAGCAATGCCATCACTCACAAAGAGGCATGACTACCATAGTAGGATGCGAGACACATTTTTATTTTAGTAACAATTGAAATAGAGTTAAACAAGGGCGAGATTGTTCCCCCTAATTGTAATATACAGTAGGTGTAAAGTGCTAATTCACTAGGGCTGGATTTTTGTAACCAGTGTTTAAGAACATGTATACTATACATGCATCACAATTCAAGACGGTCAAGATAGTCTATCAACTGCTGTATCCAGTCCACCCCAGGATTTAAAGTGCAGTATAATATGTTGTACCTGTAATGTTTTTGATGGAAATAAATTTGATGTCAGCTTTTTATTAGAATGATCTATTGACTTTCTTAGTTTTCCATTTCATTTAGTCAATGACATAATAGTATAAATTATCACCAAACGGTCATGGCTTCGTGAAGTGCCGTTATTAATAACACAAGCTTTCTATGATTACTCCTTGGCTTCTTTTCTTCATTGATAGCATATTTGATCCTGTAAATATGGAATTTAATATTTTTTTTCTAGATACACAGAAATTACTCACAAGAAAAGACATTACACAAATCAAACCATAACCATTTACAGTACTCTTTTGTTTATTTAGTTAATAATTTCACAAGGCAAAAATGCTACAATTACTGTATTAAAAGATATAGGCATCGTGCACTAAAATATCAAGAAGCATTTATAGACATTCAAAGTTAATAACATTATATAACTATTTTACCAAAGTTGCTGGAAATGCATACTGTACTACATTAATGTAATTATTCATCTATTCCACTAACCTGACATTTGCATGCATTGGGATTTAAAAAATGAGTACTGTATGCATCTTAAAATGTCATACAGCTACAGTATTCAGATTACAGTATAATTAACTATTTTCTAATGAAAATATTTGGCAAGTCGTCGATTTATCAAAATATACAAATATGCTATGCATGACACACAATTTTCATTATAAAACAGATGAGTACAAGAAGAATAGAAACAGAATTATTGCCTTAAACACAGTTATAAGTTGAAATAAAAGCCCCACGTAATTAAATTTACTGATTATCATACTCATGTACCCAGTCATCAAACTGTTATCAATTAAGTCACTAAAAAGTGGTGAGACAAAATACATACACTATAAAACATAATGATGCTTATACAGTACATTAGTCACAACCCATTACTGCGGCGGATACAGATGTTTCAATCGCACCCCCTACATTATATTAAGGAAGATAATTGTATGATTTTTATCATTCTGAAAATAAGAAGCGGTAGATTTTAAAGTACGAGAGTGCAATTTCCTGGTGGTACTGTACCTTGAGGTCCATTCAACATTCTTGTACCTCAGCCACAACCAAGGTAATTCAACAAAAGGACGCACATCTCCGCTCTCCAACATAGCGCGTGCATACAGTCCTTTGATCTTTAGTGTACGCATCAACAATCTGATACTAGTTACGAGTACAGCCGTCAATTATTCGTCTATGGGTGCCATACGTTTTATGGTGTTAGTTACTATTTTATTAAATTTGGGTACTTTGCAATGTCTGTTAATACATTTGATTTCTTTTGACCACAAGCTTGTTAAATGCTTTTATAAACTGCAAATTGATTTATGAAAAATTACCAACAAAATGAAAAGTTATAGCAATTGAAAATTTACGATTTTTATGAAATTTCATGTTCTTATATAATATTAAACTGTCATTTTGACAATGTTGGACTACTCTAAGGTGCACAAAACAAACCTTTGAGTAGATACAGAAAATTTATTAATTTTTTTCTGCAAAATGAGTCTCATGATCGACAATACACCACAAAATCAGTAAAATTAATTTTGAAATAATGAATACTGTATAATTTCAGTCTAATGTTAGTGAAAAATATCATTAGGCCTTTGTAATCACTGCATAACACACGATTAGCATGGCAACTAACTCACCGTAACGCCACTAAATTATTTAAGTGGGCAGGAAGAGCATTCCATTCGTTTACGACCCTTTGGGAAAAATAGTGCTTCCTACAATTTAGTCGAGCATAAGGCTTTTTTAACTTCCAACCATGACCTCTAGTGACGGAATCAATTGCCAAATCGAAAAACAGATCCCTATCAATATCCTCTTTTCCATTTAATATTTTATATGTCTCAATTAAGTCCCCCCTGATTTGTCTTATTTCTAAAGTAGTTAAATTAAAGCCTATGAGACGTTTTTCATAATTTACATATTTCATACATTTAGGAATTTTAGTGGCCCGTCTTTGGACCTTTTCTAATAAATTTATATCTTTCCTTAATTGCGGTGACCAATTGTGTGGACGAACTAATCCGATATACAGACACCTAATGTTTGCAACTGATTTATATTCAAAGGACCTTTTTATACTGCTGAGTACCCAATCTGCAGTTTTGACAGAAGCAACACACTGTTTGCTGGGTTTCAAAGATTTATCAATAATAACACCTCCTCAACTTCAAGAACAATGTCTTCTAACTCATAATTAAAATTAGGATTATTATGACCTAAGTGCATTACTTTGCACTTGAATACATTAAAAAGCATCAACCAGTCCTGACACCAAGTAGACAAATTATGTAAGTCAGCTTGCAATTTCCTTGCATCATTTTCAGTCAAGACAGTTCGAAAAAATTTAGTGTCATCTGCAAATTTAAAAAAAAGTGAATCAAAAACGGTATCAATGTCATTAACAAATATAAGGAAGAGCACAGAACCCAAAACTGAGCCCTGGGGTACACCACTGGTAACTGATGCCCAGGGTGATTTCCTACCATTAAGTACGACTCGTAACCAATGCGATAACCAAAGACCCAAATTACCAACAATACCATAATCAAAAACCTTATTAATCAATCTTACATGCAGCACTTTATCAAAGGCCTTCTAACTAACACACGCATGGGTAATTCGTCACACGCTGATGGTTAAATATAGTCTGGTTGCTATGGTTTTTGTGACATTCAGCTTGTAGGAACAGGCAGTGCCTAGAATGTTGATGCCAGACTTAACCTCTCATGTCCTGAGATGTGCGTTCTTTTGTTGAATTGCCTTGCCCCAACCATGGTGTGGACCCTCATGCACCCCTACTGCCACATCCTGCATCCGCCCCAGCATTATCATTACTGTATCAAACTTCTTTTAAGTATGCCCAGGCTGTTCTTGAATTGATACGATGATTGAGAGCTGAATACATTCCAACATGTGTAAATAGATTTGGTGAGGCAAGGTATTCTTTCATTCCAGATTGTTCTGCATAATTTGGCAATGCAAAATCCAAAGGCAAATTAGTATTACATTTAGTCTTCTCAAGATATTTCAAAATACCTGGAATATTCTTTGATGGGTACAAAACAGCAGGGAGGCAGCAGGATGTTGCCGGTTTTATTGTATATGAATATTTATACTGATTTCCTATGTTGATAAAAAATGGCCTACCAATTGCCAACGTAAGACTTAAATTGAAATAAAGACTAAGTAAAAACATAATGTATAAAAAGCACACAGGTGATTTGTATCGGTAAAAACAACTTACAAATAAAGTAAAAATACTTGCTAACATTGCTGATATGCTAATCCATTCCAGAACAAAGCGCCAGTTCCTAAGGAATCCAGCAAGATTTTCAGGAAAGTTAAGTTTAATCCACGCCCATTTTTCCAAATTTTGGCTTAGTCTGCCACCTTGAATCCTGTATTCTAAATGGTTGCTTACCAGATACTCAAGCACCTCAACAAAATTGGAATGTGGTACAGCATCATCCTGTATCAAAATGGCATATTTTGAGTCATATAACCATGCCTGCTCTAGGCAGTAATTATAGTCTAACTTCTCGCGTTCCCATCTGTTTTGCCTTGAGTGAAAATTTGAGTTTCCATTTTCATTCTTGGTGACCATCCTTGTGAAATTTGAGAGGTAGATAGCCTCTGAGTGACTGCTACCTTGGTCATCCACATTGCAAATGAACAACTGGTAATCCAACTTGGATGGTGATTCTGCAAGCAATTTATGCACTTTTGCCACCACTTGTGTCAGATATCTGGGTTGTGGAACACTTTTTTCATACGAGACACGTGCAACTGTTACAATGCCTATGACAAATTTAGCTCTATTTGTATTACTGTACATTTCCCTACTACGGGCCGCATTAACAGTATCCAAATAACCCTCCGCCATTTTGATCCGGTCCTCGTTCAGACCCAATGCCCTCTGATAGACATTCCAGGTGGGTGAAAAATAGCTAGAGTATGGGTGGTCGCGTAGTGCATATGGTAATATAAGGTGAAAGGTAATGAGGTGTATACTAAAAAAAATTCCAAGGACCTTCAACACTTTTTGAATGCCAAAACAGCGTGTGCATTTCAGGAATGTAAATTTACAGCATACCCAGTTTGAGGATGCCATGTTCTACAATTTGTCTCTGGTAAGAAAACATGATCAGCCACAGAGATAAAGACACAGAGCTGTGTATATCATCACCTGTGTAAAAGAAAATTAAATAAAGTCATTTGAACAGCCTGCCTGCAATAGACAATTGACATTTTTGGAGGCTAAACAACAACAAACAGGATTCAGTCTGATTTTAATGTTAAATTAAACTTGTATGGATCCTTTTTAAATGAATATTCAATTCATTACATTTTATTAGTTTTAACATTTTATCTTTTGATATTTTAAAGTTACATTCAAATTGTTGTTTATTTGTTTCTGAGTGCAATGTGTTGTACATATTATATATTTTTTTAATTGTTGTTCCTGTTTCTGAATGTAATTCGCTATTTTATTATTCTTGCAATTTGAACATTCCAGCTCAAAACAGCCAGAAATTTCAAAGTTTCCCTGTCATGATAATATGTGTATCTGTAACTGGTCCACATGGTCATCCAGTCAGTCAAAGTAGAGGTTATTTTTAGGGTCAATGGTCCTGCAACCATGTTCCAAACCCCATCATACCTTCATTATTGCTCTAATTACCTTGCAAAATTATATGTAGTAGTATGAGCATATTCATTACTTTTACTAATTTTAGCTTCCTTACATAAAAGACTGATAAGATATGGCCTCCTAAAAAGTGAAAAAATTTTTTTGCACAATGCTTCAGGGATTTTTAATATTTCTTGAAAGAGGGGCCAAATATTAGTCTGCTGTTTGTAGCAATTTTCAACTTTTTATCTTTGTTATTCCAGAAGGTATAGCTTACTTACTATAACCGTACAAAGTTATAGGAGCCATTACCAAAATGAAAATAGGGACGTCGTACCAAAATTTCAAATGGTCATAACTTAAAACCACTCACAATTTGAAGCTAAAATTTTTTATTCTTTCTTTTGACGTATTATTAGAATTTTTTAAAGGAAAGGTTGATTTAATCAATGACCCTTAAATTTTCTCATATTTTATTATTGTAGGCCTTAGTAAGGATTTTATATCTGTATTTGAAAGAGAGCTTCCCATACTGTAAAGTTTTTCAATTGCGCAAATGATACCTCAAAAACCAGCTCAAATTTGCGTGGAAAATCGCAAGAAAAATAAGTGCGCAGAATCGTTACTACATAATACAGTACATCAATTGTTTAATATATTAAGAATAGGTCAAAGCCTAATTTTCAGCAAAATCTTTATTTTCAGAAAGCCTTTATTTTCAGAAATGCAGACAGATTTCTAGGACAAATTTTTGCATGGAGGATATATTCCCAGCGCAGGCCTTGTTATACAGTCTTGGCACTGTCTCTTATACACATCTCCTTATTAATCAATCTTACATNNNTGTATAATACATACTCCAAGTATTGAAATACATGCCATCGTGTATATCAATACTTGGAGTATGTATTATACTATCAATACTTGGAGTATGTATTATACTTTCAATACTTGGAGTATGTATTATACTTTCAATACTTGGAGTATGTATTATATACTTTCTTATCTGAGATTAATCAGTGGACCTTCTGGAACTGTTACTTGCTGTTTCAAGTTTGACTTCAAATTTTAAATATTGTATATAAAATATTGCATTTTTTTGGCCAGTGTTTTTCTTGTAAATTGAATTTTTATTTCATGCTGAATTCAAATTACTGTTTTTTTGTTGTAGAGGGGCTCCTTTAAGACACTGCTGTTAGGGTCACACACGTTTAAAATTAAAAGTTGAGTAAACAAAATAAAAAGTCAGCATATTGCTGTTTAGAGCCACCCTCTCAATATAGTTTCAAATAAAATAATAAAAAAATAGGGATCAGGTATACAAGTTGGACACTGGGTTTCATCTCGGCGATACCATTCTAATAATGAATGTTTTATGAAAAGTATGTTGGGTACTATTATACTCTGTCTGTGGTGAGGCATGGTTAATGCCGGGTATAACAGTGTAATTATGTGTCTGCGTAAGCCCTGATTTTAGTGTTTCATGTTAGTTATAATATTGATTATTATGTCTGGTGTAGGCCTACTTTAGTGTATTTAAAATGAATTAAACATGTATCAGTATATCTTACTATATCATTTCATTTATAATTATTGATAGGCCTATTATGGGTTATAAAATACACATTTAATAACTGATAAACAATAATAAAATGATAATACACTAAACTAAGACACAACACAAACATATAATTACAGACATAAATCAAAAATTATATAAGTGACATAATTTCATTTCATTTCATTTATTTATTCGACCAATACACATTTACAAAAGGTACAGTACAACAAAAATTATGGTCAGGGGCAGCTTAAGCAAAATTTTACTATAACTCATTGAGAGTCAGCTGCCCC